CAGAACTCAGTACTATAAATGTCGTTCTATGTCTCTGTGTGAGTGCAACTACAGCGTGCGCTCTCAGGACATCATTACCTGCAGTGTTCCCTCAGTGAGGACTGAACTAGACAAAAGGACCTTCTCCTACTCCGCTCCTGTTTCCTGGAATATCTTGTAAAAAGATCTGAAGCTCTCGACCTTTGACCTCTCTAAGGGATTTTAAACAACTGATAAGTTCATGGCAAAAACCAACAGACATGTTCCTGTTTTTAGTTTTCTACATTGATTTATAATGTAGCTGTTTTTGTTTTGTTTTTATATAATTTCGCCTATTTACTTTTTAATTTTATATGCTTTTGATATGATTATCTTTTGGTGTCTCTCTTGTAAATGAGTCCTCGTGGCTCAATGAGACTAGCCTGTATAAATAAAGGATACATGAAAATAGAGCACACCTGACTATAAGCTGCACGCACTAAAATAAATAAATAAATAAACAAATAAAACAATTTTGTACATAATATAAGCCACAATTGTGTATAAGCCGCTGCTGTTCGTGTTGTAACGAGTGGCTATCATGTTCAGCTGTCAGGAGTGTTGAACCCACGTGTGGGAGGATGACAAGGACATTTGAGGAAACGTAAAAATATTTATTCTCACAAAAACAAAATCTAAACGTTGACAGGGCAGCTACTCACAAAACTGATTGGACGGACGGAACGGAAGGCTGAACACAACACCATAAGAGGACAATTCCGAGACAAAGACAAGATGCAGAGAAACTGAATACATACACAGACACTTATTGGGAAAACGACAGACACCTGCAGTGATTAACACGACACACAGGTGAGACAGGGGCTGAACACAAAGAGGGAAAACACAGAGCTGAACAGGAAACAAACAGAGACAGGACAAAAACCCTACAGTATCCCCCACTCAAGGGATGGCTGCTGACATCCCAAGGACAAGCTACATCCAACTTGGGTGGGAGGCGGGACAAACCAAGACAGAGAAACACAGAGGACCAAAATACCAAAAAAAATGACAGGCAAACCTGGGTAACTAAACACAAAACCAAATCCAAGAACCCCAACCAGAGTCAAGGTGGATGGTCAGGAGACCGTCCAGGGTAGGACCAGTATTTAGGAGGGCAACCAGGTGACCATCCCCAATGAGGCAGGAGATCAGGGTGGTGGCCAGGAAACCATCCACCTTCAGGCCAGAACTCCGGCGGGCAGCCAGTGGGCTGTCCATCTCAGGTAGTACAGGTGTCCATCTCCATGGACTCAAGCAGGTGAGGACCTCTGGGGGCAGACCGGGAGTGAGGACCTCTTCGGGTGGACCAGGGGTCGAACCAGGGGTCAAACCAGGGGTCGAACCAGGGGCAAGGACCTATGCAGACGGGCCATGGACGAAGACCTCAGGTGGGCCAGGATCCTCTGCGGTCAGGCTCGAAGCAAAGACCTCAGGCAAGCCGGGATCTTCTGCAGTCAGGCTCGGAGCAAAGACCTCGGGTGGACCGGGACCTTCTGTGGTCAGGCCAGGAGTGAAGACCTCAGGTGAGTCAGGAGCAAGGACCTCAGCCGATGAGCCAAGAGCAAGGGCCTCAGCCAATGAGCCAAGAGCGAGGACCTCAGCCGACGAGCCAGGAGTGAGGACTTCAGCTGATCCAGTGATGAGGATCTCTGATGAGCCGGGAGCATCAACAGAGCCAGGGACGAGAACCTCAGGCGAGCTGGAAGCGAAGACCTCAGGCGGACCAGGGACGAGGCACTCAGCAGACCCAGTGATGTAGATCTCAGATGAACTAGGAGCTTCAGCAGAGCCAGGGACAAGAACCTCAGCAGACGAGGCTGGGTCCAGAACTGTAGCAGGTGGTGGAGACGGGACTGCAGCAGTAGGTAGTGGAGACGGGGCTGCAGCAGCAGGTGGTGGAGACGGGGCTGCAGCAGCAGGTTGTGGAGACGGGGCTGCAGCAGCAGGTGGTGGAGATGGGGCTGCAGCAGCAGGTGGTGGAGACGGGG